CATTTAGTGCACATATTATGTGTAATTAAACCCATGATATCAAAATCTCACTCCAGCCAGGTACCCAAAGTTGGGCAACCCTGATTTACAGCATCAGCAGAGTAAATCAACTTGAATTTTTCAGGTCAAGTTAATCTTCGGGGAACTTCCAAATGCAAATGTGCTGTATTAACAAATGGTAAGCTATCTTGACAGGGCTGACCTTTGAGGGAACAGAGAGCCAGAGAATCCAAAATGGCGGAAGCTATCATAGCTTATTAGCGGTGTTGCTCCTTCCAGATTTATTTCACCTCCTCTGTAAGAATATTAACTGCTCCACAAAACAGGTCTGAAAACACATTTGATACTTGAATACATGTGAGGAGTTTTCTCGAGACAACTATGTGAACTCACCAAAGCTAACTGAACTTTTTACAATATTATTACTGGCACAAGATATTTAGGTCACAAAAGAGCCCAAACTACTCCTGAAAGAAGTCTCCCAGCTTCAGCAACCCCCTAATTGGGAGGACATACTGTACATGTGGGTTAACTTTGCTGAGGCGTTTCTGATATCATCCTCATGCCCTCAGCTTCAGTCTCATTGAATTCTATGATGATAAGACATCTCTCTCTAGAGCAGGGGTACTCAAACTTTTTAAAGGTCCACTTGTGAACTTTAAACAAGGTCACTGGTCCGGATCGATGCCAGTAAAGTACAAAGTCACCCCCCCCCCGGAGCGGAGCAACGAAACTGAAATTAAGAAAATGGTTCTTACGGCGCTCTATGCATGGGGCCCCTTTGAGGGGGTTTCCCGACATGTCGTTGCAGTAAATTAAAGGGTGTTTCATGTTGTCGTTGCTGTGGACCTTCTTAATCTACCTTCTTTGGGGCCCCCCTTCTGGTCCAAGCACTTGCCTGCCTTGCCTGTCGGCAAACGGCGCCCCTGTAATATACACACACACACACATTCAATACATACATACAGTATGGTGGCTTGAACTAGTGGGAGAAATGGCACTGTTTGTCTGTAGCCAATGCCTTGAACCCTCGGCAAAAAAGGGCATTAGAAAGTCGCAGTTAACTTGCAGTCTGCAATGCGTGTCACGCTCGCGCACACAAGGTAAATATATATGCACGTTCATTCTCACAATGCGTCAGAGACAAAGACGCGCGTAAACAATGATGTACATTAATTTATCAGAATCAGAATTTGTTTTTTTTTTTATTTTTTATAATGGGACACAGGGTTCGGTCCGGATTGATTTGCAGTTCGGTCCGGATCCGGAGTTTGAGAAGCCCTGCTCCAGAGTATATATTTTTACATTGCTATAATCGTGCCAAACCAAACAGCGGGGAGCCCAAGCCACTCCTTCAAAAGCCCACAACCACGCACAGTGGATATTTATATGTACACACACACATCAGTTTGATATGATCATCAGTACTGCCCATGGCGCTGCAGCTGTGTGTGTGCAGCTAAACTCACTCAAACCTAATGATAACAGGGCAGTATCCACACACACATATACACACACTCTTTAAATTCTGAACACACGCTTGGATCTTCACAGAAACAAAATTCCCCAACAAAGTGTTTCCAAACCTTTACCAATGTTCTCCTTCTTCACAAACAGTGTCTATACAAATATGAAGATTATTGTCACACGGTATATGGCTGAAACAAATGCACAAAAGTCGATCATGGTCGAGCTGAAAGTCCTTAATTACCTTGGAAATAGTTGTAGGAAAACCTTTTTTTAGCAATCATAAACATGAATCATATTTGTGTACCCAAATCAGAATTTCCCAAATTGACACGAGTAGCTGTTTGGGCCATGTTGTTTGTTTTAACACTGTATCCATAGATATATCTTGTTTATATATCTATACATTTGTGAGTTTTGCAGATGTTTCAGGCTCTGCTAGACAGTAGTATTTTTTAGGGCTGTCAGTCGATTAAAATATTTAATCGCGATTAATCGCATGATTGTCCATAGTTAATCGCAATTAATCGCACATTTTTTATCTGTTCTAAATGTACCTTAGAGGGATATTTTTCAAGTTTTTAATACTCTTATCAACATATGAGTGGACAAATATGCTTTATATGTTTGTTTATTATCATTTGAACAATGACAATATTCTCATGAATATTAAACACAACAACCTCTGAACATGACAAATATTCGCCTCAATTCAAACCTGGAACCTCTCATACAATAATACTGTGTGTGTGTGTGTGTGTGTGGTGGTTGTGTGTGTGGTGTGTGTGTGTGTTGTGTGTGTGTGTGTGTGTGTGTGTGTGTGTGTGTAGACACTGTGATCGTTGGAGCTATGTGCCGCTCAAGGCATATATGCTCCGAATGGGAGCTGCCTGGACGCTGCAATCATGTAGCGTACTATCCGTGCCGAGTGTGCTGACTTTTCGTACAATGTCCCACTGTCTGGCTACCTGCATAAAGTCAAGTGCTCTGGCGCGCAGTTGTCGGCGAAATGTCATTGAAACAGCTCCTTATATCCGTTAGCATCTGGTGCTAGCTAGCTGCGCTAAACAACAACAACACGTAAGGTGTGCCTCGCTCCCGGCGAGTCGCGCCACACATACACACTCCCCTCCCGCCTCCCGTCCTCCCGATGGCCAGTCCGGGCCTGCCGGTGAGCGTGGAAGTGTGGTCTGCCACAAGCGGGCTGCAGGAGCGGGGGGGCTGTCAGCATCAGCTTGTAGATGGTATTTTAAACTTGATGCGCTCTGAAAACTAACGGGGCGGCCGAGGACAAAAAAATACACATGCGTTAATATCGCATTAAAGAATTGAGTGGCGTTAATTTTTTTTTGCGTTAAGCGCGTTATTAAACGCGTTAACTTGACAGCCCTAGTATTTTTATAAAACAAAACTATGACTAAATGTGTTTGCAACTACATTTATTTTGTTAAAATGAAGCTAGAAGAGACTCAACACTTACAGTGACTTTATGAACACATTTGAACAGTTTTATTTTGGCTAAAACTACACTACTTAAAGTCCTCTTTTTAGAAGACTGCACAGAAAAAATGGAAGCAAACAAAGAGTATCATCTCACATTCCACTATTTATATTCCACTAAACCCATTTGTATAATAAAATGGACTGTTTCTTAGTTTTGAGGAATTAGTTTGAGCTGCCTCAGATTTATGATCCTGGCTCTCGAGAGTTGGCTGTGGGTAAACATTGGAGCTCGTGCCACAAGACATTTAGTTTTCCACCAATTTCAACGGAGATGAACACGAAGCGTGAAGAACACAAAAGCCCATAAGAGCCTGGGAATGATTAATTGTCATAAATCACTACAAGAACATTTATTTTGGAAACCTCCACATAGCTGTCTAACCATCAGTTGAGTGCTGGCTGGCCTGGTTTTTCGTACAGACCAAACAGGAAAAAGTGATGTACAGGACGCTAGATATGCTGTACTTTTGGTATGCCTCAAATATGAGCACTGCGATAATAACAAGTGTTCTACAGTATGTCTGAACCAGATGTCAGCTAAAACTTTCCAGACCCCAAAGACCAGATTATATAACGTTACAGCCAAGAAGGGAAACAGGATGACTCAGACGTGGTCAAGAAGTAGAGGTAGTAACACTAGCAAACATAACATTTTGGAACCAAATTAACTATATGGCCCAAAAAATATGGACAATTAAACGTTATAGCCAAACTTAAAATGGTTGTTGGACTTCTCATTCCAAAATGATGGGTATTAATGCTCCACTCTTCTAGTTTAGGGCTTTCCATCAGATGTTTTAACCTTAGCCACAACAGGATTAGCGCGTCAGCCCACCAATGTTGGGTGATGAAGCATGGCTTTAGACTGGGATTAAGTTCATCCTACAGGGGTTAGATGGGGTGGAGGTCAGGCAAGGTTTCAAGTTCTGTCACAACAAGCTGGGAAAACTATTTCTATATACAGCTGACCATGTTTACAGGGCATTGTGATGTTAAAAAAGGGCAACGGTACCCCAAACTACAGGTACAAAGTTGGAATCACTATGGTATCTTAAATATAAATAATTCTGCCGATGAGGTTATGTTTTCTGTTTGTCAGCAGGATCATGAAAAAACTATACTGCGATTTTCCTGGAACTAGGTGAAAGGTTGTAGCAAGGTCCGAGGAAGAACCCAGTAGTTTGAAGCAGATCCGGATCAAAGGGGGAGAAAAAGCATTATTCTACTCTTATTGAAACGGCCTTGGCCAAAGTTTGTCCTCTTTGAGTTCCCTTTTAGTTGTATATTGCATCATTAGTAAGTTTAAATAAAACCCTGGTTTGATTCCACCCTCGGTCAGGTTTGTTTGGACAATTGTGAACTCAGAATTAACCAGAGACCATTTGTAAGAGGTGATCCTTGACCATTTCAAAGAGAAACCTACAGTATTTATCTGTTGAGCTGGACACAGGTAAAGGAGAGGATAATATAAGAAGGAAAGGACAAAGTGGGACTTCAGCAAAAGATTGAAGTCGAACATGCGTAATTTTGAAATAAGACTAAACAGATTTGTGTACAGTAAAAGCAATATTCAAAGTACAGATTATTTGCATTGAAGAGGCAGATTTCAGCGCTTCTACACAGCAATCCTTTAGCAATCTTTTTTTGTGTTGGTTTGCCTTAATATGGCACTGTGAAACCAAAAACCAGACTAAATAGAAAACAAACCAGCAGTTTCAATTTCACTCGTTCAGACTAGCCAAAAGGACGATGGCTTGAGAAAGCGCCAATATATTTCCTTGAGGTGCCTAGCCCAAAACCAACATCAGCAGCCCAAGGCAAGAAGAACCAAAAAAGTCCACACACTTTTGATTATATAGGGTGACAGACCACGAACCATCTAGGCATGTGAATAGAATCGTACTGCACACTCAATTGAACACTATCATACAATCAAGTTCAGAGAAGCACATGTAAACAGATCATACTGTAACTTTCCATATATGACAGTGAGATATCTGGAAAAGAAGAGTGGTTTTCATGTTGTTTACCTTTGGTCGGCTAACACTGCTCAGTCCCGCTCCAACACGGCAGAGTGGAGGAATCAGAGATACCCAGAGAGACAGAGAGAGCATTTGTATTATTACATACACATTTCCTTTTGACTGACAGGGAAGCAAGCAAACTTCCTCCTTGCTTCTTAAAGTGTGATGTGAAAATCACACTTTATAATTTGCTTTGGAGGCTGATGGTTAAATATTTCCGGATTGTAATCAGTCATAGTTTTTTGATAAACACTAAGTCATCTTTGGAAAAATGCATGTATGTTTTTGTGTGTGTCATCTTTGTGGGTCCAGTATTCATTGCCTAGCTAACTGGAAGCAGGGGAAACTGGTAGCCTAGCCCCATCAAAGGCCAAATCTACAACCACACACACACACCCTAGCAGCTGTATACACACCAAATGTCCTGTCAGCAGGTGGCACTAGTGTGTGTGTTTTCTATCATGCTGAGCAGGCTGGATATGTGTGACCTAAAAATAACTGACAGGCAACAACTTAAATACACTCCCATAGTCCCTCTCGACCCACTGCTCTCCTTTACATCCGCTCTCTGAATCCATTCGTTTCATTTCTATTTTCCTTGCTTATTTTCCCGCATCAGATACAATTGGTGACATTTTACACTTCACAGCTTATCATGTCATGCAGTAGTCATGTCTGACCTTTATCGGGAATCGTACACAAGCAAAGGGAGTAGAATGAATGGATGTGTGTGTTCACAAACTAACCATGTCATAAAAACCAAACCCCAACATGTCACATGCACATAGCAAAACAACACACTCCAACCCTTGCTTGCATAAGATCATTAGCTGCTCTCATATGATCAGTAGCTGATGGTTGAAACAACAAGAACACCGTTGTTGGGACCAAAGCATGATTATCTGCTTTCTACCATTGCAGAGCCTCAGTTCGTCAAGGTTACACATTGAATTCTCAGTCTTTGGATAAAAACAACTAGCCTACGACCTGAACCTGGAAATGTGTCTGCAACATGCCGATGTAATTTGTTATTGCCAACAAATCTCGTAAAAATACCTGATGTAGCTCATGACTTGTGCCATTGACATCCAGAAACTATTACTAGATAAAAAGTGTCCACTGGTTAGCCTGAAGGTTTGTACTAGCTAATGGAAAGATTATACATGGTACAAAGAATGGCTCTTAGCTGTAAGCGCACAGCTATGCAAGCTTAACACACTGCTACTGTAGTTGAAGACAGGGGAAGGCCAATGAAGGTTTCTACTGGAAAACAGTACTGGATAAAACACAAAAAATGTAATAAAAATTGCTAGCTGGCACAAAATTGGTCATTAAAACATAATAATATCAAATAAATAAAAGACTGTCCCAGATTCTGTAGATAATGATGGTTTCTTCGAATAAGAAGGATAAACAAAATTGTGGATCGAAAAAGTTTCGTAAAAACTTGGAACCGTGTTAGTAAAGATTGCCATAGCAACATAATGTTTAACTGAAACCATATGTCGGAGTTCCCTGTCCATGAACTTTTGTACTTTATGCATCCTTCCTTCATGTGGTAACATCCAGATGGACACAAGTGGTTGTGACATGCAACTCATTCCAGGAATTAAAATCTGATGTGTCATTTAAAACAGTTCCTCATCCCGCTGTGTTGCAACCACAAGAAAGGATAATGAAGTATTAGCTAATAACTCTGTGTCAAAACAGCTCGTGGTTGACCATCTGCCCTCTGTAAATAACTCTAGGAGGATCAGTGTGCTGAATGTCTTTGATTGTGGGTTAATCACACTCTGTTCGTGCTAAAAATATCATTAAGTTGTGGTTAGTGTCTCTTAATGAGTGTCTTTGATTCAGAGTTTTCCGACGATCTGGTGGATCGTCTTTCCTGTAACAGTTTATTTGTTGGTTTGGGATTGTTCATTGCCTTTTGTCTACCAGGATTAATAGCAAACAGCTGGATACTTGTACCTCTGCGTTGGCCTTTAAAACACCAACAAAAGAAAACAAATAAAGTGCACTAGCTGTTATTAGTAAACAATTGAGAATGATGATTAAAGACCCCATTGTAGCTTTATTTTGCCCCTTGTACAAGCTGCATTCAAACCAAGGCATCACACTTGATTTGATTCTAAAAACGATATACAATTTGTTATAAAGCTTCAGCTGACAATCATTAAAAGGAAAAGAAGAGGTAATCCTCAGTTTTGAGAAGTTGAAACCAGAGAACGTTTGGCATATTTCTCTAAAAAGATGACGCAAACAATTGGTATAGATGTATTATTCGATTGATGTTGTAGTTGTTTTTCCTTATTGGTTGACTTGGATTTAAATAATCAACCAATTTTTGTGGTTGCCATATCTTTATATCCAAGAAATAGGACCTCATGCATATCTTTTCAGATTCAAGTTTCCCCATCTTATCAAAAGAAATGGCCAGTTTCGAGTAAAACTAACAGTTGATCCTTTTGATCCTTTTAGCCATTACTTCAACCTTACGCAGCGTCCACACGGCGGCGTGCGTTGAAGCTTGCCGGCGGGCGTGTCTGAAGCTCGACCAACAACCAATCACATGAATCTCCCGCCCTGGACACACAAGCACGCGGTTTGATTGGCTAGAGCATATGATTCGATTGGCTGACGCTTCCGTCGAAGCTTCAAAAGTTGAACATTGCTCAACTTTTGAAGCGAGCAACGCGACCAAAGCGAAGCGATGCTCCCACAATGCAGTTTGGCGAAGCGTGACGTCAACCCATTCAAAGTGAATGGGCAGAAGCGTTGAAGCTTCAACGCACGCCGCCGTGTGGACGGGCCGTCAATGTAGTTGATTTTGAGTTGGTTTGCTAAAGATGCTAAATATCTTTTATAGTCTTGAGGTCATTGTTTTCTGTTGAATATTAAAATGTTTTTCTGAGGCTTTTTAATACTGAGACTCAGCTCTCCCTCCAGCTGATTTAATACTCTTCTGTTGCCTAACCGGAGCATTAAAGGGTATTATGAAACAACATGACCTGCCAAAACGGAGGCTTTAAAATCACAGATTGAAAACAATGGCTTTACCTCTCCATCATAATGAGAGTTGGAAATCTACTTTCTGCAGTTAATAGTGTTTCTACTGCCATGATGCGAGTTTCCACAACAAATTATCTGAATAATTGGCAAACATTTAATTGAAACAATAAGACATTGTTACACATTTTAATGCATTGCGTAAATCAGTCAATTCTCATATGAGTGTTGTTATTGTGCGGACACTAAGGGTTTTACAGGTTATGTAAAGAGAGGTTTTGGGGTAGAAACAGTTTGGATTCAGAAAAAGGAAACTTCAACCAGAATCAGATGTGCTCTTTTAAAGATCAGTATGGCAGTGCGAGTAAATGCCAGTATATTTATGTGACTCCAAGTCTGTTCATCTAATCCAGTACATCTGAAGGGAGCTTAAACAGTCAGGCAAACGACAATAACAACTTACTAGTTCCTTAAATGACTACTTGACACTATAATACACTAGCGTCTACAAAAAGCAACATGAGTTTGAATGAGACTGAATAAGCTCTGCTCAATAACATAACTTATATACGTAGCATAATTCATATTTAAATCAAAACCTAAATATGTAATAAACAGTTATTTATTTGTATGTTGCTGTTTATATCTACTTAGAACTAACTTTTTTTTTTTTCTTGAAAATGGTTATTGTTATAAAAGCAGTAGGTGTCAGTTCAAGTTCAAACAGTCACGTTGTAGTCCGGTGCTTGTACTGGGAATGTTCACTGAACACTGCATAACTGGGAAATATGAGTTCATTTTAGCCTGTAGGAGTGGTGGTGTGTGGGTGTGTGTGTGTGTGAACAAATTATTCCATAATGATCACAGGCTCCAATTTAAATCTTCCTCAGGTGCGTGTGTGTGTGTGTGTGTGAGACATACAGTACTTGCAGCTGAGAAGCTTAAGGCATAGGGGTGTTAGATAACCCCCCTAACGCACCTATTTAGAACAGCTTGTCTCTCGCCAGCAGTCAGTTTAGTCTACAGCAGCTGAAGGCCGCAGACATATAGAGAGACAGCTCGACATTTTAAATCTACTCCACACTGTGTCTCAGGTCACAGGCCCACTGGGAATCAAACCCTCAACACTGCCAGTGCCTTACAGCTGACATGCATAAAGAAATTATATACTGGTCTGCCTGGCAACAAGCTAACATATATACTTAAAACCCATCTAACACAGCACACTACACACACACTCTTAACACACACCCTCGGGTTGAATCTGCAGCCTGCTTGTTTTATTCAAATAGGGCACAAGCTGCCAGCACTCAGGGCAGAAAACATAGAATCAAATAAAATAGAATACAACTGGTAATCATCTGTAGACACTGCAGTGTTAATGTTAAGAAATGCTCCTTCACTGAAGAAAATGTAATGATCAAGATGGATTTAAAGTCACATTATAGTTTAAAATGTTGCAACTGCTGGGTGCAAAACATCTGCAGCTTGATGATGGCACTTCCTCTTTATCCAATCTGGCACGCTGAAGAATTGCTGACATGCCAACATTGTGCAAACATATTTCCTCCATAAGGGTCAGAGTGAAAATGCAATATCTTCCTGTACTTCAATGACTGAAGAGGAAGCAGTAAAACAAACTCTGATTGAAATAAATGAATGTTGACAGATACATATGTTTGTCTGCATGACCAAACCTTTATACAGTACATTACATTACATTGCATTTAGCTGACGCTTTTATCCAATCAGCGACTTACAATAAGTGCATTCGACCAAGAAGATACAAACTTGAAGAAACCAGAATCATAAGTACATCAGGTTTCATAGAGCCAAAACATTTCAAGTGCTACTCAACAGGCTTTAGATAAGCCAGTTGAGATAAGCCAGTTCTTTATTAGTATATAAGTGCTTTGTTAGCAATTCTATCGCTCGAAGTGGAGTCGAAAGAGATGAGTTTTCAGTCTGCGCCGGAAGATGTGTAAGCTTTCTTCTGTCCTGATGTCAATGGGGAGCTCATTCCACCATTTTGGAGCCAGGATAGCAAACCG